AGAACCAGAAAAGAATTTCACAGCGGTAAACTATTCGCGGACTTGTTCTGAGTTAGCTTACTGTTCCAGCAGAGGTGGAGAATGTTTATGTTTACATCGGAAAACACGTCTGCTCGCTACGGCTGCTCGAACGCGACTCAAATTGGATAAGCTGTAGAAAATATTAGTTATTGAGTAGCACATGTCTAGTATATTGAACAGATAATTAATAAGGTCCTATATATTTTTAATTTTGAAAATTATTAAATCAAATACGCTATTCATTATGTAGCTAGATTACATAAAATTTCTAGCATAAATGAGTTTCACGTGACCACATGAATAATCAGCGTGTGATTGATCAAGAAAAGTAGTATATACTTACATAAGTTTTGGCAGTTATCAAAATTGGTATTTTGACAAGGTTATTTTAATCATCATGGCAGATAGAGGAAAAACAAAAAAATTTACAAATATGTGCAGTGATGATGCATATAGTATATTACATATCCAGGCCGGAAAACTATTGGCTCACGTACCATAGACTTACGTTTACCAATATTTTCCCTGTCTCGATACGTAATCTACAATTTCGTACTGTTGAAAACAAAAATAAATTTGTATAATTATTATTATTTTTACCCGTTGTTATACCATTGTTTATTACTGTTTTACACTAACAAATTGAACTCTGACAAAAAATTGTTATCAAAATTGTCATATTTCAACATATTTTTTTTCGACTAGTACATTCTATTCTCTTGAATAATAGCTTTCAGTATAGTTTGTTAAATAATTTTTCATAAATAATTGCAAATTAAAAAAATACTAATTTTTTTTAATAACTAATTTTTGAACATCAGAGGTAACAAGTTATTATTACAGGTCTAGTCGTTCACTCACTTTGTTCTTCTCAATACAAACTATTTTTTTCAATTTTGTATTTATTTTTAATGTTTCAAGTTTACCTACGAGAAAGTAACAAACTTGTAACAATATAAATTTTTTTTTTTTTTTTTTTTTTTTTTATTTAATCAATTTTAACCCAATACAAGGATTATTTTGCTAACATTATTTATATAACAATATAAATATTTAGCAATTTCAACAACAGATAATACTTAAAGTTACTTTCATCGGTCATTTTTCGACCAGGTGACGTTTTATACACAATATACATAATGCTATAATTGTGAGATATCGGTATTTCATCTTAATAATAATGACATGCTATTAATAAAACTTATATCTTCAATCGTTTAATCAATATTAAAAAATTACTATTTATTTGTTTTTGTTCATTTTTATGGACATGATAGATCATTATTGTTTATATAAGCTAGCTGAACATACTATCGATGTCGTTAAGCTAATTCATATATTTTGGCATAGATATCTGATCAAGCGAATAAAGATCTAGCACATCAATTTTGTCTCAGTTGTGACTGAAAACTATTCCATTTTTCCAGACCTCTGATCATTCAATAATTCATCAAAATAAAATTAGTATTAATCATATATCTATACTGTTAAAATGTGTGTGTGTGTGTAATATAAAGTGAAATACTCTATTATGGCGATGGGTATTGGATTACTTACCAACAAAAATTTGTCAAAACTAATTAGGCTCAATATAAAGCGACATACAGATTTTTATGACGTCTACGAAAGAAAAAAATAAATATCTTGCTTTGCATACACGACTTGCCTAAATAACAAATGATGCGAATAATCTATAGACGGCATTATTTGCGAATTCACACAAGAATTAAGTCATTTGGGAAATTCAAAAAATCTCATTTGTATAGACATATTTTCATAAAACTTATAGGATAAAAATCCAACGTTGTTTACGTGAATATAATTAAGTAAATATTCCGAAGATGGTATTGAAATATTTTTCAAAACGTCCAAATATAAACTAAAGTATTCGATTACCTAAAAAATATGTTTACTTTCTATATACTAATGTGCATAATGACGCGTGTAATAATTATAAAAATCTCAATAAACGTATTCTTTGTTCTGATGAATTTCGTAAGAATGTACATTCTGAACGATATTTTAAAGGAAAAGTACATTTTACTACAATATAAATATTTTTTGCCATTCAAAAGGATGAAATAATAATGCAATTCTTTGGCTGATACATCATCTGAGATCAATAACTTGTTCAAATTAAAATAATCTTCAGCACTTTGTCTAGCCCCTTATAAATATTTTTTTTCAATTTTAAAAATAGAACATCTTTTTAAAGGAATGTGCCAAGAATGCTTAAAGAAACTGCATTAATTGAGTTTTATTTTAGGACTATTGCAAATTTTTTAATCTCAAATGTATGAGCATAATCTTCAAGTAGGTTCGATAAAATCTTGAAGAAGCCAATTCGAGTAGAGATAATATTCCATGTCATGATGATTTGTGGCAATTAAAATTATTGATGATTATTGTATTATTCTATACACACATTTAGAACTTTAGTTTGGAGGATCTTATTAAAAGTAAATGTCAAGGTAAAATAAAAAGTGATTTGTTATGTTGGAATTATGTAGTATTTTATTTTGTTATAACTTTATCACGTTATCGCATTTTACGTTAAATTATTTACACATGGAAACTATTTAAATAATGTATCGCATAGTTGAAAGAGTTTAATATTTACAGCACTTTCAAAAGCATCGCGTCATTGAAATAAAATTCGTGCAATGATTACGATACGTACTACTTATGCAAGACAGTATTATTGAGAAAGTACGTACTTATATCGTTGATGATTTGAGAAATGAAGATATTTCATTTACAAACAGTTCTTCTGAATTTTTTATTTTTTTAATTTTTTAAAATAATTTTTTATAAAAAATAATAGCCTCCGCTGCACAAGCCCTCTTCAAATTATAGAGTAAGGGTTTATAGTCCTTTACAAAATTACAAATTACAAAGAATTATAGTCAACGGAAAAGGCAAAATAAAATAAAATAAGTAAACAGAATTTGCGCAGCAGTAGTAATAACTTTGAGGCTTTATAGTGAAAACTCGTCAAATTAGACGATGTTCAACAATGATAGGTATTTCTATTATCTTTGTAAAAAAAACTAATTACTATATTAAAAAACGCATAATATGAATCAATGACTTGAACTTTATATGTTCAGGTATTGGAGTTATCAACAATATCTTGAGTTTTATTTCAATAGTAAAAATCGTCTAATTTGAAAGTTTGGACAATATTAACAGCGTCCTTCAGTCCTATTAAATTAAAAACGATTAATCACAAAATTCGCATGTATTAAAACCTAAGATCACATCCAGTGATAGCTCGCAATTCGAGTCATTATTATAAAAATGGGTTGAAGCAAGGAACTGCGTATAACAATAGTGTTTTCAATAATGGAAATCGCTTTGACCAAGTCCTCGCTTCTAACTATTACCCAAATGCTGTAAAAATAGTCTAAACATCTTGAAATTTTTTCGATCAGATAAAAAACAAATTATTTTTCTTAAATTCATTAGCCAAATAAAAGGTGTCAATTTTATATAAGAAAAATTGCAATCTAGGATTCATACAATCGATATCTATAGAACTTAAATTCAAAATACAATTTCAAAATGTTTATACTGCACTTTATAAATGAATATTATACGTGGTAGATACAAGATACTAATCTAAATCTATTCTTGCTAATTTATAAATTAATGACTGCAAACTTGGTTGATCACTTCGAGGATCATTTCGTAGACTTTTATCGGAAAGTCGAGTACAAATTGCTTGTTTGATATGTAGTTTTGCGCTCTAGTAGAGAACAAAACATTAATTTTGACTCTTACAATATATGAACGGAAACAAAAGTCATATCGTGATACAAAAATTCATCTGGCGTATTTTTTCACAAAAGGATTTTAATCGTAGAAATGGTAATATTATACATATTTGTGATAAATAATATAATAAAGCAATGCAAATATTAGATATTTCTTAATAGTACCGAGAAATATTAGAGAGAAAAGGCACTACGTAAAGTATTAAAAGTAAATATCATGATATATGAAAATGCAAGTTGGAATGAATTGATTATATCAAATAATATAAGCTGCATGAGTCTCCGTCATGATTTTGTTTTTAAAGAAAGTAATCAAAGACATAAAGTAGCGTAACTAAATTTTTCTTGTTTTTAATAGAGATGTTCATTTATTTTAACTATATTAGGGCAATTCAAGTAATGGAAAGTTTGCACTGCAAACTCATTCTTGAAATTGATTCATATATAAAATAGAGTGAAGAATTTTCTATAAAGACAATTAATGTTTCCAAATCAGCCAAAAAAATTATTACTGAACATCTCGTATCCACCTGTTTATGTGAATTGATTTTTTTACGGAAGAGCAAGGATTGCTAAAATATATCGGATTTACTTAAAAATGTGAGACAAACTGTTCATTGCGAATATATAGAAAAACAATATGCCAGTCTTTTGATTAAATACAAGAACTAACAAAACAAGCTTTTCGTAATATATTTTTGCAACGGAAAACGTTTCACATTTCATAAGCATTAGCAGCTTCATTTAAACGAATTTGTAAGCACAAATAATCAGGAATGTAATTTAGATTCATTAAAGTTCATATTACAATGCAATATTTCATCAACTGTTCATAGTTTTCTTTACTACTTGCAATTATTATTATTATTATTTGCTTGAAAATTACGTGGAATTTAATATTGTCACGAATTAACTAAAAATAACACAAAATAACAACAGTTTATTTTAGTCAAACATTAGACATAACAAAAAATGATTAATTTTCATAGAAAACCTAAAGCTATTTTCATAAATAAAATTACCAATTTATATTGCTTTAATGTGTAAGTAACAACGAAATAAAAAATTCTCAAAAAGTATATAAAGAATTTTGTATTGCACTTGACGACGAAAAAGTAAAATTTTCTTATCTAGTGGACAAATTTACATTACTCAACAATCCAAAAATCAATTTATAAAGCAAAAACATTGAGCATCATTCGAGTCATTCCAACTTTTCCTAAGCGTTCCTAGAAAATTATTCATACATGTGCACATATGGATATGCATATATTTTTGTAGTTTTCTAGGCGGAAAAATTATAAAACACAACAATCTCTCGACTTTAAAAAGTTCATTTTTATGCCACTTTCCACATGAGAGCTATTCTTCGCCTCCTATCAGCTGTTACTCTCCAATTTATCTCCGCATTCTAACGAATCGCAGTCGGCTAAAGCCTCACCCTCATACTGATACTCTTCACTAGCCAAGTCTTCATGCGTCATACCTTCGGTATCTATACTATCAAAGTACTCAGGCACGCTCCATGGAGTTTTGAAGATGCGCTTACGCGTCGGCGAACCGATAATAAACTCAACTCTTGTTGAAGCCGTGCGCGATGAAGCCTCATCGTCTTCTTCGTTGGGAACGTTCATAGAATTCAGCGAGTCAGGATACAATGATACACCTGATGACAACCATGAACTTGGTGGATTTGATGATTGCATACTCTGCAAAATTAAAGATCACGTTAATTATCTAGCGTGAAACGGAAATCAAACTTTTATCGTTATTTATGTTATTTTAATAATTTTTTATCCATCTTCTATACTTTGTGGAATGCTTTGTTTCAATTTCAGAGTTTCAAATTTGTAGCACAAGCAATTATTTTAAAGCAAGCTGATTTACATAATTATACTGTATTAACAACACTTGTAAACATTGCTTTACTATTTAAAGTTTTATTAATTTTTTTTCTCTTTGATGCATTGGCATTAAATTTGAAATAAAATTTAATGTCTATTTTTCCATATTTAATGAATAAAATTCTTAAAAAATGTAAATGATAGAAGATGCAGCTACAAATATTTGTAAAGAAATATATTTAAAATATAAATATTTAAAAATAGTAAGCTATTTTATCTATTTTACCTACTTTTTCAAAAATTACACTGTTTAAATAAAAATGAGAATTGCTGTAATTTCATTGCGCATTATAAAAAATAACACACATTATCATAAAAAATGTAATGCTGAAACTTAGAACATATTAAGTACTTTGAAAAATTGACGGTCCAAAGCTCTTAATAAGAATAAATAAATAAAAATACCTTTGACCAAAGAAGTAAACATCACAATTGATGCTAAAAATGTTATGAATGATTTACCACAACAATCGCTATTATGAAAGATTTATTTGGATACGTATAGAGCCGAAATTGAAAGTAACAATACTTTTAACATTACAATATGACAGCAAACTGAGAAAAACTTTAGCAAATAAAAATGCAACACAAATAAAAATACAAAAATAACATTTTTAGTGCAACACGGATTGAAATAAATTGCACAAGTCAAAGTATGAAATCCAGTTTGTTTGATACAATATAGAAAAAGTTAAAAAAGAAAAGAATGATTAACTAATTCCTGTGCTTCGAATTGCACAAATTTTTTATTTAAAACCTGAAATAAAACATCGTGATTGATGAGTATAATGTGTGACGATATATCAATGAATGTGATCATGAAGTAGCCAACAAAAAGTTGAAAAAAATAAAAAAGTAATTAACAAGAATTAATAGATGAGATAAAGCGTAATAGTAAGATGCATGATAAGTGAGCGTGCATGATAAATATATGTGACGTGCATTTCTACTGTCTACTAAAATAGTTTTCTATAAATACTATGTTTTTCTATTTACAGTAGTGACTGTACTATTTCACTACTTCAAATATGTAATAAAACGCGTTTCCATTACTAATTTCACTATTATGATTAATTTTTACAGTTATTTTACAGTTATCTTTGTCAATATTCGTTAAATAAGAACCGTTCAATTTTAAAACGATTTTCGAGAAGAATTAATGAATTTTCAGTACTAATTCATATAAATGAAGTAATTAAAAAAGGTTGTAAGTTTTAAAAAACGTTCAACCGTTTACACTACGTGAGTAAATGCGTGCACATGCCAAATTCCCAAAAAATCAAGACCTTAAAAAATAAAAGTCTACTTTATGCGCAGAATTGTGGGTTTGCAAAGCAGACAAGGACAACAAACCAATCTACTACCTACTGTAGTAGTAACTACTTGAGTGCAGAATGTACCGGATGCAGCTACTAGAAGAACAGACGGTATCAAACAACTTGCAAAAGGTGCAAATAGCATAAAATTCACCGGCATTTATAAAAGAGAAGCGTCTTGAAGCAAATGATAAATAAAAGAAGCATAACTTACGAATGACCGACGAAGAATGCGCGATCGAATGAGACTGTGGGGCCTTTTTCGATTCAATAAGTATTGCGGACTGCCAGTTGGGAAAATCTCCGCCTCTTTTCGTTGGCTAGTGGTAGATCAGCAAGAGATGTCGTAGAGAAGTGACGCAATTTTTGTTTGTTTTTTATGGAATTGGTTTTGCATGGTGTGTCGGCGTGTAACCGTTATGGAATCTAGTAGACAGTCCTCGTATTGGTTTTTTAAGATAGGTTGCCTTGAGACGTCGTGTTTATTATTGATTCATGATGATAACGTAATTAACAACAATTATCTGATCCGAAATTACTTTGATATAAACGTTATAGTATGGATTTTTTTCGTTAAATGCACCAATTGTTTCGTAATAGTCATTAGTGATAAACTTTTAGAAAATAAAAACTAAGCTTCCCCATCGATCTTCCGATGACAGATTTCTGAAATCACGATTGAACGTACAACAATAATAAAAGGTATAACAACGACATTTGAAAGTAATAAAAAACAAACAAATTTAACAAAAGGCAAAAAAAGTAGAAAACAGTCAAAAGTCAGTGCTCTCTCACTCTCAGAAGAGTATACAAGTGGGTATTGATTGAGACCGCCAATAAATATAAGTAGAACAAATAGATAATGAAGTCGAGCCGAACAATATTCCGTACAGCAATAGATAAAAGTAAGAATGTTCATTTGTGGGAAACGTCCGTGATTATAGGTAGTCATATGAAGGGTATGGTGAATTTTCGATTATAAAAAACAAGAAAAAATAAGTTCATTGACGTCTATGGAAGCGCAGCTAGGTCCCTACGAAGGGTGAAAGACAAAGATCTTTCGTTCCATGAGCGGCGCATCGTGTCTCTGTCGAGTGGCGCTCTAAGACTTTAGCCAAGTACCAAGGTACCAATTAAGGAATTTCGAGCCTGTGGTGCGTACCTTGGCGGTGTCGTTTTGCATGTGGATAGTTGATGCTGCCGGCGACTGCTCGGGCCTAGGTGCTTGACTATGAGATCTGCGCGCCGGAGCGGGCGGCCTTCTCGGTGGCGTTTGACTGCCATTCGAGTCGAGAGAGTCTCGCGTTCTCGACAGCGAAGATTTGCCGAGGGAATCTCTTGAGCTGTTGCGCGGTAACGAGCGACTAGTCGGCTCCCTGATCGCACCACTGGTACTCTTGCTCAACGACTCGCGACCTGAATCACGAGCTGCAGCTTTGACCGCGCACAGCCGACTCGACGTTATCGACGAATTATTATTACTTTTGAACGACCTCAGCGAATCCTTACTGTCGTTGCGTCGGTGTTGCAAATTACTGTTATTAGGGGTCGAGGTGATAGGAGGTTTCGGAGCCGTGGCTTTGGTCGCGCCCGGCAGCGGAATTCGACTAGGTCGCCGCCGAGGCGATGGTTTCAAAGGACTTTCGGAGCTGGTGTTATGTGAAGTGTGCAGTGTATCGCGCGATGACTCCGCACTGCTACTGCCCGCGTCAAAGCCGTTCTGCAAGTGATGGCCATTTCGTAGCGGTTCGGATTCATCGTCGGCGTCGTTTTCTGTCGCAGGACGCTGCTGTAGTCGCTCCAAAACTCGCATACGAGCTCGTGTGCCTTCCAGTTCGATGTTTCGCTCGGCCAACTAAAACGAAACAATTATCATATCGTCTCTTTGCTCGTGAATTCACAACGAAAGATGCACGCACCTGGAAACGTAGATCTTCGTTTTCTTCGTTTGCTTTCCCTAATCGCTCGGAAAGCGTCTCTGTGCTTTTCTGTATTTCATCTAGTTGCTTTTGAAGAGCCTGAAATCGAAAATCCATTAATGAACACAAGGTATTCATCGACAGCCAGTGCATACCTACACGTATATATTTTATTGATTGATCCATACGTATCATATCACGAAAACGAACGAATCAATACAACGACGTCAGTAAAACTTCTCAGTACCTATTTCTTATTACAGCAGATTACATCATCAAATGCGTCGTATCGTGTATCATCCGCGATAATCGTATAGTTTGTGCAACGAGACAATTCGCAAAAGAACTGTTTGCACAGTAATGCATTTTCACCTGATTCTGGACGGTAGTAGTGATGAGGTGTCGTTGAAGCTCGAGCGGCGAGCGTTCGCGTAGGATTGCGGCAATTTTGTGTGCGTCAACGTCGCTACGGCGCATCCGTTGCATCGACAGAGGTAGCCGCTTCGGTGATATCAGCACCGAGTCGAGAGCTCCCAGTCGCTTTCGCCTCTCGTCCACACTCGACGTGGACAACTTGTCACCCGACGCTGTTACTGCCGATGTCACATCCTCGATCGAGCGGCTCATCGCCACGCACGCTAGCACGTTCTTCTCGATGGTCCTCGTGCGGAACCGATTTTTCTGTGCCTTATCTGCAATGCCAGTCAATCGATGTTAGCTACGATGTCGACGACGAGGTCGTTCAGAAGTATGATGCACGTCAATCTTACTGTTAATATCTCCAGAAACGACGCTCACGAAGGCCGAGTCCTTGCTCTTGATATTAAGGGCGTTCCCGCTGCCCCTTGGTGACTGTAAGGCGAGATTTGTAGGTACGCTGGGTTCGATGGGTTGCAGTCTCTGAACAGCCGGCGCCAGAATACCACCATCCTCGCCCTCAAGTCCAGCCCTTAATCTGCCGTCTAATCCAGCCTTGAGTGCCGACTGAAGTTCTTGGGCTAGCGCTCGACTCGAAATCGTTTCGGCTTCCAATTCCGCGACTTTATCCAGCAGCTGCAACTTCTCACGTCGAAGCACTGCCAACTGCGAACAGCCCTCATCATCGATGAGCAGCAGATCTTCGTCTGGCGAGTCGAGCCTGCGATGGCGATGGCGGTGGCGACGTTGGTCGTCTTCTTGGTCGTCCGAGTGTCGCGAGACTTTGCGTACCGCGTCGAGGATATCACTGGGCACATCTTCGAGGTCCTCCGGTGCAACGCTCTCCAAGCGACCTGCACGATTATAAATTAAACTTTAGCGTTTACTAAATATAATGCTGTTAATTTCAAATCAAAGGTGCGATGTATTGGCAGCAGTAAAGAAGATTAATTACTTAAAAAAACTTTTTTCAGATTAGATAAATTGAAGGACTTTCTATCTCGATGGCATGTAGAAACTATTGAATGAAAGTTCTAGTAGAACTAATTGGTACTTGAGATAGTATAAAACTTCTGGTAAAGGGGTTGGATGGTATTTAATGAACACTCATAATTGACTCTTACGTATGTGTAGTTTTAATAATAAGACACTTGAAAAAAGTTTGATAGTTTGCGTGAGAGTTTGCAGCATCAGCATTAGCTGTGAAATACTGAACACAATTAATATGAAATTAGCGAGACAGTCATAATGATGGTGTCATAAAGCATACTAAAAATGTCTAATCAATCAATAACAATGTACTTTCACACCATCTCTCTTAAATGAGAGAGAGAGAGAGAGAGAGAGAGAGAGAGAGAGAGAGGGAGCGAGAATGTGAAAGCTTCCTATCTCTGACAAGACTACGTTATGTATTGGTGTTTGTTTAAGAAGAAAAGTCTCATGCCCATTCGTCGTTTATGCAAAGTAACTCAGTTGGAAAACTACATACCTTGAAGACTCTCGACTTCCTCTCTAAGTCTGACGCCTTTTCTGTGAATAACATCGAGCAGATTCCAAAGCTCATCCTCGGCTTCGTCGAGTACCGGCCGACTGCTCGGACTCTGTGGCCTTGGTATAGCCGTGGACGCGCTATCCTTGGATGAGGTCTCCGTGCTGAAACCCGAGTCCTGGACCGTGGCACTGTGCTTGTTGCCGCCGCTGTGCGAATTGCTGCGGCTTCGTGGCAGCGACGATGAGTCGTTGTTGTCTCGCGACTGCGCCACCCGCCGCCTCACCTTTCCTGGCTCCCACTCGCCGATGCGCCGCGACGACGGACTGCTCCAATTTGTCTTTATTACTATTAAGCTTCTTTTCTTCGAGAGATCATATTGCATCGATATCGTAAATCAGTTGGACAAATTAATCTTTCACAGAACAAGCTGATCGCGTTGGAAAGTTACCCAACAGTCTTTACTCTAGAAAACATCTTGAACGTCAACTTGCTCAACAAGTAAGTAAAATAGGTTGTTGTCCTAATTTCCGTCGCAAGTTTAACGTGCACAAATTTTCAGACCAGATAAGAATTTTAAAAACCAAATGACTTTGCCCGATCGGGGCGAGAATTGGTAGTTATAGCAATGGCAAGTCTAAAATGGCTTGGTTATTGAATCAGGCGCACGTCGCGTGAAAAATAGTAATTCGTCTCAACTTTCGATGCAAATAAAATAATAAAGTGAAACTAATACGGACCTCTGACTGGACAGTGGCATAGGCATGTGCGAGCCCTGGCCGGAGGACATGTGCCCGGAAGCGGCGCCGTTGGTAGTTGGCGAAGTGGAATTGTTGTGGGCGGATGCGGTGACGGCCATCTTGTGCCTGAGATTTGGGAAGGTCTCGATGACGAGGTCCCGAAACTCGAGTAAGGCGCCGACCTCATTCTGCAACTCCTGTAGGGCGACCAGCGATTTGGCCTGCTCGCTTATCAGGTAGTGAAACGGCCCGGGCCGAAGGGGCATGCACTCCATGCCACCTTCCACGACTCCGTTCACGCCCACCACGCTCTCGCTACTGCCAGTGATACACTGCAATAAACGCAAAGAAGAAACAGTTAAATAGAATAATAATAATTAAAATTTAGCATTTCCACGCTTTCTGACTCACGCTGCCGCGAAGTGATACTCTAGTCTTGATTTTACGCGTCTCACGGTCCAAAATAAATATCCAAAGAGAAATTGAAACGCCCGTATGAATTGAGCCCGATAGAGTCTCTCTCCTAGGCGTTGACTACATTATGCATTTCCTGCCAGCTCGAGAGATCAGTTTTACAAGGAACAAAAGGCCATTTTAATGAAATTTACTTTGGAATCCTTCCTAAAGTGCTTTCTTTCCAGATTTATATTGATGTCTATTTGACGCTGTTACGCGCAGCCATACATTAATGTTATACGTTATCCGAGGATGTATATAAGACGCCGCTCCTATATCTCAAGCTTTTCCTTATTGAAGTGAAAATGCTCTTAAACAAACATGCGTTTCACTTTCTACACGGATAAATTTTTTTTTCTATTATTGAGCGCATGAGAAAAACACGGACTAGCTTCTGTTGTGTGTACGTGCCGGATACAACTTTGAATAAAACTTGGGATAGATTTGAGCGTCGATAAAGTCGACATATGTTGAAAGAAAAGTAAAACCATCGGTCGAACAAAACTAGATGGGATTGGGAAATTGAAAATTGCACGAGCTGACGTCAACAATTAATTGTTTTTCTTCCGACGTCGTAGAAAGCCGGGATGAAACCTTGATTTAAATGTATTGTTATTATGAGAACAAATGGCGCGATAAAATTTTAAACGTTTGCTCGGTTGCACGCATAAACAAAAGGAAGGGAAAAGCGTCAGGGATAGCCAGTCGAGTAGATCGCTTTGGTCTTAAATTCATGCTTGAGGAGTTTTACTACTTCCAGGTCAGGATGTTTTTGTTGGAATCTCGCGAGTTTCGCTTGATTGACTTTTCATAAAATGTGACCTTACACTGATTTCAAATAGGCCGTCTCTTTTGGTTCTGCTACACGTTTTACGGATGCGTACTTCAAAAGACAACTCTGCGCGAGGATAAAAGATAATTAATGTGAAGTGTACACGTGAAACCGGTTGTCGCTCCGTGCTGTAATAATTGTTCATCAATTTTTTTTTTTCACAGAGCACGTGCTTTACTTGCGTTTCGCCTTTTCGACTGCAATTATGCGAGGGAATCTGCGTGCAAGTTTCGTAAGAACGAGAATTTTTTTTTTTTTTTTTTTTTCAAACAAAAACGATCATCTTTTTGGAGAAATTGCTGCAATGTGGGCGCGGATGAAGGCGCAACGACTTTCACTCGGAGGAATGCAAAATACCGCATACGTTTTCTTTCATAAATACGCCTAATTCCACTTGTTTCGCGCTCTGTAATAAGATGTACTTCTCAACGCTCAACGTCCCTGAAATAAAAGTCTCGAGCCAGAAATTAAATCCCAGCATGACGCAGTAACAATTTCGCAGCCAAAATAGTAAATTACGTGGAATTTGTGTAGACAGGAAAACAGCTGACGAAAGCTCGTAAAACTTGTAAAAAACGTTGACAGCGACGTAATTTGAAAACAATTTCAAGTTCGTAATTTATGCTAGTCAGACTATAATTACAGTTACAAAACATAGCAGCTAATTAGATTGAAACACATACAAGCTCATCCGCGTGAAGAAATACAGAGGAGGAGGAGGAGGAGGAGGCAGAAAAAGAGAACTGGTAGGTTTACAAAACTGGTGGTGGCTGCTTCCTGCCCGCGCGGCGGCCCGATTCGTAAGGAACAATGAGCGGCGAGCTGGCCTGCTGCTGCCACAGATGCGCGTTACCCCAAATCGGCATATATGCATGCGTAAAGCTCCGCGGTGATGAATCTAGTAACGAACGTTCCAGCGCGGCCGCGACAGTAGCGCCGCGTCGATCCGTAACTCACTTCCACGCGCCAATGTCGGGCTCGTCGCTAATATCGGCGAGTTTCGATCGGCAGCTTTGCTGGGTTTTCATGCAATACCGAAAGTGAGCGAGCAATCAACTCTTGCAACACACGCGTTTGCTCGCGATTTCGATGGGTCGACGACGCGACGTTTCTTGTGCGCACGCTCGAAAGGGGGAGAGACAGTTTCGCCGGCTACTCGAGCTACTCGCCGCGGCAGAGAGCGACGAGCGATCATCGATCAGTCGGTGGATATTCGCGATGAGCCGCCGGATAAACACGGAAGTTTGTTTCTTGCAACGATAGCTCCGAGCGGAGAGAAAGAACACTGCGTGCAGCGAAGGTGTGCTTCGCGCTCGTTGGGTCTTAACGACATTTCGGGGCGCACTCGTCGCTGCCGCCCCCGCGCGACGCCATGTGTACCGGAGCCACGCCTGCCTTAATTGGACCTGCAGCGAGGTTGCGAGTATCCTTTCGCAAGCGTGACTCGCTTGCGTTTCGGCAATCACTGCTCTCTTTTATCCCCTCGGCTTTTCCATGGGAAATTTCGTACTTCGCTCGCTTCAGCCCTCCCTGCTTTCGATCGCTGACTAATTCGCGAGAATAACCAACATGTGCAATTCGCTTGCCAAGCGGATATACACTCTGTTTACTTAAGCTAGTCCTAATGCATTTCATAACCTCGGCATATACGTACAAATATCTTCACAAGTAATACGTTTTCAACGGATACCTGCTTTATCCTTGACTCGTAAACACGGTGCTGAAGGCAATTGTTTCGTGCGTAAAATTGACTTGCGAATTCGAGTTCTATTATTGCGCGGTTTAACATCGAATAAATTGAAAGTACCCAAACGAGTTTCCAAATTCATTGTTTTCGTATTCCAAGTTTGCAGAGCGAGCGAATCAATTTTCATCCGACGATGAAAGTACTATAAAAGCAAACTAAGCTGAAAGCATTGCTACTTTATTTTATGCTTCCGCTGGACGAGTCGTCGTCGAAAGTCGGCGTATAAGAAAATTCCACCTTCGCCTAAATACTAGTAGTAGTTGGAGAGAGATGCCGACGATTTCTCGCTTCTATATAGCCGTTGGCCTACAAGAAAAGCCAACAGCAGGCGTCAGAAGAAATTGGTCGCGGCGCAGTGTATCAATGAGCTACTCCACAAACCGACGAAAGAGACGAAAGTTGACCCGATTCGGTTATCGTTGCATTTTCAGCAGCAAAAGGTGCTTGCTATTGCGTCAATTCAATCGTGACGTATAATCGACGAGCTCCACACGATAGGCTTATAATTACCGAGTCGTGACCTATCACGTGCTGCGTAGGCTCCGCAAAAAATCGCATGGTGTATCATTATCGGTCGAGGGATTTTTTTGCTGCAGATCTTGCGGGTGGGCTCGACCGTACATGGCGAGCTTTTCCAAAGCTTACGTTCGGCGGACCGACCGATTTCACGCGCAGCATTCGTAACGAACGAAATATAGGACAACGCCTTCGCGCGGATCCGCGTCTCACTCGGTGCGCGCGACTGACAGAAAGCGAGTCATCGATGCGCATTCTCGCAGTTTCCGCGTTAAAGGCTCGAGGCAAACCAAAGTAGTTCTGAGGAGGAAAGATTTCACTCGATCCCCCGATACATCGGCTTCTCCCTGACCCACGCAGGTCGCACACATTTTCACTCAGCTCCTGCGCACGTGTTACTCAGATTCTTATATCCGCAGCCCGGAAGCGGAAGACCTTCGTCTGTTGCGTAACCCGTACAGAATTTTCGGACGAACGCCGCGTGCTCCCTGCGACGCCCTAATCACCGAGAGCAGATCGCGGACAATTTGTAATACTTATATACAATAATTGCTTGCGCGCGTGGCATCGTGCTTCTCTCGCAGTGCCGGCATGCAGTCAATCATGTCGCGCACAATTGCAAACGCAAGTGTATCGAAGTGTAATCAAGCCGCGGCGCGCCGGGGAAACTTTCTCCTGCACCTCTCTGCGAATGATTTGTGCACGCCGGGAAAACTCGCCGATACAAATCTTTTCCGAAGATCTTACGGAACGAAACTTTGCCGCTATACGTTCTCTCGCGCACACGCCTAGCGCGCACTGTTATCTCTTGCCGAAACTCGCAAGCGAGCGAAAAATCGCCGCTAATGTTTATAAATCTGGGAGATCGGATCTTGCAACTTTCACAGCAGCGGCGCCGATAGAACTCTGAGTGCAATGACGCGCGTTGAATATATGATATTAGAGAAAATGACGCGCGCGCACGTACGCGATCGACTAATGACTTGCCCGGCGAGAAGTCACCTCATCAATATCACACGGAGCGAGGAAGTTTAACGAGCGATATCTTTCGCACTCGAATTTCAAGCGATGCAAATGAAGGGTAATCGACGCTCGTGAGTTGTCAAAGACGTTCGTCGAGTTTGAGGATCGACGTAGACATCGAGAGTAAGTGTCTCGCGCCAAAAGCAAACGCACACTTTTCTCGGCGAGGTATTGCGCCTGACCATATCCTGCCGTGGCGCGCATCGCGGACAATCCTCTCTCTCTCTCTCTCTCTCTCTCTCTCTCTCTCTCTCTCTCTCTCTCTCTCTCTCTCTCTCTCTTTCTCTCGCTCTCCGTTTTGCAAGTGCCAATTATCGTTTACACGGGACAGGCGCAATTGCGTAAAGACTCAATCGGCAGCGGCGAACTTTATAAATGCCGTGCGAAAAAACAAAACAGATAGGCAAGCGGTAGCAGCCGATTAGTCAAGCGGCAAAAGCAGGAAAGTAAGAGAAAACGAGGCTTTTGTGTCACCAGCCATCCCGCAGCCTACGCCAATCTCAAAACGTTTATTTCTCCCGAATGAAACGACTAATACGTAGCCGCACCGACAGCTCCGCTTTATTTCTTCACTTACGGCAACAAAAAGCAAATGGCTGAGAGAGAGAGAGAGAGTGCCTCTCATGATGAACATGCTCGGAGAATTGCTATAAGAAAATCTGTTGTAGTTGTAGTAAAATTTACGGCGAAACATAGTAATACTGGGATGCTCTCGAGTTATAATCAAATTTATTTAACTTTTTCTAATGCCTACTATG